TCCCCAAGTTCAGTTGCAACACACTTTTAGATCTTCTTCAAATGGTGTGAGCCTTTTTTATTCAGTTATCAACTATCTCATTTACTATTTGAAAGTCCATTTTTTCAAACCTTTTCAGTTCCAAATATTAATGAATGTTTTTTTCAAAGTTACAACAAAAGCTAAGTTGATAACGATTACTTTTTGTTATAAATTAGAAACAGGACAAAACATATACCAGAAGTTCCATTTCTTTGAATGATTTCACTCTTTCAGGCTCAACTTTTAATCCCCCTTTTCTAAATTTTGAGAGTTAATTGATACTAAAGAGTATCGAACGCTTTAGGAATCGCAGGTTCCACAACATTACAGAGAATAAAGGAAGCATGATTCATTTTAGTAAGTAAGCGTTGAATGATTTTAGGGACACACTGTTTGACCAAGAGGATGTAATATACAGGGACTCCGCACAGAAAAAGAGAGAGACCTATCGCTGATTCTACTGGATTGACAACGAATGGCGTCGCAATAAAATACAGAGATATAAAGATCATGATGATTGGGAATATYAGAGGTACTTTGTAGGGGCGCGGAAGGTGAGGTTGTTTCCATCGTAAGAGAATAACAGCAACAAAGATGGCGAAGAGGAGGATCCATTGTACGAAAAGCAGGCAGTTGATTAGCGGCTCAATTGATGTTGGGAGTAGCATAACCAGCCCAATAAAGGTCCTTAGAACAATAGCAGGAATAGGAGTCTGAGAGTTACGATTTACATATGATAAGCACTTGGGCATCTGTTTTTCTCGAGCAATGGAAAAGAGAACTCGCGACGCACTAAAKACTTGTCCATTGATGCTTCCAAAACAGGATATGGCTACCAAGAGAGGCATAATGATGCCAAAAATAGGGCTAAGTTTGTGCGCGAACGTAAAGGCTACCGCATCGGATGACAGCATTTCCGAAGGACTTAAAATACTGAAATAGGCAAAGTTGATCAAAACGTAGCAAAATGCTACCAAAATGATTGAGATATACATGCATCTGGGAAAATTTTTGGATGGGTTTTTGATTTCTTCAGTGATGTAGTTTAGACCATTCCARCCATCGTAAGACCACATTACACTATAAAAAGCATGGCCGAGTAAGCCAATATYCGTGTTTGAATGAGTAAAACTGTTTTGAAAATTTTCAGTGTGACCAGCTATGATCGKTGTAAATCCTATAGAAATAATCATGAATATTCCAGCGATTTTCACACCAGTGAATAAGACCTGCGCGCGTGCGGACCAAAGCACACTGGCGCAATTTAACCCAGAGAAAAAGAGAATGGACAAGGCAGCTAGAAGCTTTAAAAGAAAAGTGTTGTCGCATTCCAAGTTGAAAACGGCGCTGAGGTACAAAGAAAACGTCATGGACTTGATAGCAAGGGATCCTGGATCTAAAAACCAGACATTAAGCCAACTGTACAAGAAAGCCGCCATCTTGCCATACGCTATCTTCAAATAAACAAAATCCCCACCCGATTTTTCGATCATTGTTCCAAGTTCACAGTAGCACAAGGCTCCCAAAAGGCTAAATATTCCCCCTATAGTCCATAAGACAAGCGTTAGGCCTACAGATCCACTGTTTTTTAGGACTAAAGTCGGTGAAATGAAAATACCTGAACCAACTATRCCACCAAAGACGAGAGCGATAGCATGAATAAGCCCAACTCGGCGTTTGATTACTACAGGTTTTGAGCGATCTATGATGCTTGTGTCTCTACTATTGTCATGATTACCAAGTAACCTTTCTTTATCGCTTGCTTCGGACTCAGAACAGTAATAATCTTCCAGGGAAATGTCAGGAAAGTCGAGTATATCTCCGAGTTCGCAACTTGCGGTAACGAGGCGTTCGTCGTTATTTCTCTCTGGAGAGCTGTACAATACGCTGTTGTTTATATTTTCCGTTGCTCTGGATGGATTTGAAGATTGATTGGATGTTAGAAGAGATTCTCTTTCTGTCATTTTGAATTATATTCCAAAATCAAATTCACTAGCAGCTCACCTTCCGGGATCTTCATAACAAAGGTACGTGCGTGCCAATCAAAAAGATTGCGTGACTAACATTTTTTATCAAAAATTCGGCCAATCTTGATCTTACCCTACCCTAGACGGACAAAAATTGTGCTCGTYAAGTGACGTGTCACAGGATCGGGTGATCAAGCGAGCGGTGACCAGACGGGTATAACGGCGTTTTCTTTTTATCAATGCCTTTTGTACCTTGATTTGGGAGCAAACGGTTGGTGTCTGGTCTAAAAAATGTACAAAAGGCAATCTAAGACTATTCAAGGTAAGATTGCTGTTATACGGTGAAAAGGTACAAATCTGGGAAATCTGGCTAAAACTGACCCTTATTCCTTATTACGTGGTCGTTGAACAAAATCTCAGTAATTATTTTCTTTTTATTCTACTTTTAAAATCTTCGTTATTTTGGATTTTATATCGTGCAGAAATTAGGTTAGGTTAAGCAGGAAATGAGTGAGAGAGGCTTTTTTAATTTTGCACTTTGCCACATGGCAGATCCTCTAATTACTAAACTCATGATCTTGCATGGCGCGTAATAACTATTGATTTCGTAACAGTTATGAGTGGGAGAATTATGGAAAGTCTGTATGTGGTTTTGGTAATTTTGCCATATATAGGCATTCTTTCGTGTTTTATTCCTGTGACGAAAACACGAATTACAGCTTACAGATTTAAGTACTTTACTCTCACTCTAATAACAATTTTCATTATAAGATGAATGTTTTCTAAAAGTTTTAACTGAAATATATATGATATGCAGTATGGGGGAGTATGTGGTGGGATCATACTACCATGATTTTGCAATTTTGGGTCAGTGTTGGGTCACAAGGATATATTTTTATTCCAAAAATAAAGACACCAAAGATATTGAATTAGCTGTCAGTCAAACTATATGCTCAGCTGCTATCTCTTCTGAATGTTAAACATTACTATTTCTTCCACAGATCTTGTAAAAGCCTGAGTAGTGGTACTTTTTTGGGGGGGGAGGGGAGGAGGGGAGACAAGCTTATTTTCAACCCATTTATTTTTAAATTTGATATTCATAACGACTATAAACCAAAAATCGTGGCAATTCCTCATACATGTACTTTGGAGTGTTCTAATGTCAACAAATCATTATATTTAAACGACTTCTGATTGGATTATTTTCGCTTTGTATTTGAATAATTATTAGGGGCGTAATTGCAAAAACAGGCTGCTCTCTTCTCTTCCCTCCTCCCCCTCCCCTCCCCTTCCCAAAGAACCACTACCCAGACTACTTGAGATCAGCAACTTACTGATGTATTTATGTTAAAACAGGCAGCATCAACTCCAACTTAGAAGACGAAATGGCAATCAACAGCAAATCAAAAACATTCACAAATGGAAAAGCTCCTAATTATAAAGTGTCCAAAGAGGAATCTGCGAAGAGTATAACCCTGACCCAAGGTGCAGCTCTTATCATAGGAATAATGATYGGTTCTGGAATTTTTGTTTCACCAAAATTTGTGCTAGAGAAATCAGGATCTGTAGGGATGATGGTGATAGTATGGACTTTTTCCGGGCTGATTGCAATGCTGGGAGCATTATGCTACTGCGAACTTGGAACATTCATTCAAAAATCTGGTGGAGAGTATATTTATTTCAAAGAAGCATATGGGTCATTGCCTGCTTTTTTGGTGAGCTGGACTATCATCTTAGTTCTCAAGCCGGCATCAATAGCAATTATTTGCATGGCATTTGCATATTATTCCTGTCTTCCCTTTCTTCCTGAGGGATCAACAGAGCCTACTGTTCTCGTCAAAGTAATTGCAATGCTATGTATTGTGATACTCACAATTATCAATTGTTTGAGTACAAAATTAGCAGCCCAAACTCAAGTTCTCTTTACTGGAATGAAACTTTTAGCAATTGGTTTAGTTGTGATTATAGGGCTGTATAATATAGCCACAGGACACACAAAAAACTTTGAAAACCTCTTCAATGGTACAAGTAGTAGTCCAGGAAAGCTTGCCCATGCTTTTTATAGTGGCCTTTGGGCCTTTGATGGCTGGAACCAACTGAATTATGTTACTGGAGAGCTGAAGAACCCGACAGAGAACCTCCCCAAAGCAGTAATCATTGCACTTCCTTTGGTCACCCTCTGTTATGTTCTGGTCAATATAGCTTATGTGTGTGTCCTTACACCAGCAGAAGTCATCTCGTCAAGTGCAGTTGCCATATCTTTTGCTGAAAAAATTCATCCAGCTTTTCTGGTTATGATGCCACTGTTGGTTGCTTGCTCTTGCTTTGGAGCAGCAAATGGCTCCATTTTTACCAATGGCCGAGTAGTTTGCGCAGCAGCAAAGGAAGGACACATGCCTACTTTCTTTGCAACAGTTAACTCCAGACTGAAAATGCCAATTTATGCAGTTGCATTTCCCTCTGTTATTGCAATCTTACTGCTTCTACCCAGCAATCTTGAATYCCTCATAAGCTGTTTTAGTTTTGTAGCATGGATGTTCTATGGAGGAACTATTTTGTCTCTTCTCGTACTGCGGCTGAGAATGCCCCATAAGCACAGGCCTTACAGGGTTTGGACTGTTGTACCAATTCTCATGGTTCTTGTAGCACTTTATCTGGTTCTTGCCCCATTCATTGAAAAACCAAAGGATTCAGCCTTTGCTTTAATGTATATTTTGGCTGGGATTCCATTTTATTATATTTTCTCAAAAAAGTAAAACAATACTTTTCTTATTGTAAACCATTTCTCAATTAGACAGAGCATTATATAGCCTGAGATGACAGATGTCTGACACTCGCCACCCCACTGCCAAGACAGACATACAGACTCTGGTGGGGGGTAGGCACAAAATATCATCCGGTCTTCTCAGTCCAAGCATTATAAAGCTTGTTATTTTATTTTGCATCCCATAACAATATATATATGTGTGTAGAGTATATGTGTGTAAGTCAACGTGTAATAGTAAAATAGGCACAAAAGAAAACAATGGAATTATAGTCTACTAAAGTGTATTAGTCTAATATCTGTTTCACAGGTTTAATAACTTCAAAGTGAAGAAATCACATATATATGTATATATGTATATATGTATATATGTACTGTTTRATAAACGAGCAGGAGTGTTTTATCGGGTATAAAACACGAGGCATAGCCGAGTGGTTTTAGACCTGATAGAACACGATCTGCGAGTTTATTAAACGGCTTAAAAAACTCCTGATGTATGTTCTCATACTATACCGAATTCTTTATGAAATGAACCAAGTTTGATAGAGAAAATCCAAGTTAAAGTTTATGCAAATGAAGACGAATCTATATCAGATATAAAACCTCCTTCATGGTCATGATTTCTATTGTGTTTCCTTCATGAATTATTAATGTATTTTTTAAATATATATAAACCGAATCCCTAAAACTTTGACAATTTAGTGATATATATACATATTTGGATTTTCAAGGAAAGACAACAGGAAAAAGGGGGATAGATACATATGTATATATATTGCTAAATCATCAAAGTTATAGGGATTCGGTGTAATATATACATGCTTAGTAYAATATACTTATATTGTTTTGTTCTAAATGGCTGTCGTGTCGTGATCTTATTTTACCCTATTTACCACTCTATTTTTCTCCTCTTGAGCTAATTGCCTAATAATTATTAAGTACAAAAAAGGGTGTGCAACCTATTAAAAACTTTCCTCCCAACTGTTCACACATCCCTAACTTTTTCCAGGACAGAAGCAAGGGGTGGATTGAGTTAAGGCTTGGCTTTTATCCAAAACCACCAGCCCATTCTGATATTTCTATTTTGTTCATGTGACCAGTAACTATTTATAGAGGACAATCAAAATTTGTCAATCTGACCATTAACTATTTATAGAAGAAGATAAAAATTTGTCAATCTTTAGGATGCAAGTACAACCCACCCATTCTGTTTTTCAGTCGTGGTTATGTTATTTTTTCTTGGCAAATCTTTGAAACGACTAATGTTACGAAACTAGTTTTTTTACCATTATCTTCAACTATGAAAAGGTACGAGATCATTTTCGCCTCAATTTGAAATTTCTTTTAATATCTTACTTCCTTTATTGACATTTTTATGGGAAAAATGTACAAAAAAATACATTAATTTTACTTAAACCGTTGTCGGTTTTTAACCTACCAAACAACACATTTTTTTGGTTTTGTTTTACATTTACGGAAGTGATAGATYATTATCAAGTATGCACGTGTATAATAGAAGAATAATTTGTTGCCACCTTTGGTGGAATGAATCTAATAAGTTGCAATTTTAAGCACGCTCAAAGCTGCAATGGATCGACTTTGTCGGAAATGCACAAACTGCGCGCGTCTTCAAACTTCGCGCGCATACTTTTTCCTAAAGAAACACAGAAAAATATTCTCATCTATTTAATATAATTATTCAACAATCCCTTTTTTATCATTTAAATCTAGTTTATTTAATTATTTCATTCCTATTGAATAGCGTTAGTAGATTTTACTTGAGCCATGGTCGCCAAACCTGGCCAGTCACGGTGGTGCAAACACTGTGTGGTGACAGACTTGTAGTCATAGTAGCAGAGCATTCTGTGCGCTCATCATAAGGGGTGCTGCAATCTATTAACGGTGATGGTGGAGGAGTCGTGACCCCATACATTGCTGATGCATACCAGGAGCACATCTTTCCATCCATACAGGGATTGCATAGACTGCATTGCGCAATGTGGCAATTGACAGAAGATAACGCTCCAGTTTCGTACGCAGGGAAGTAAGTATGAGAGACGCTCCTTTTTGGCTTCTTTACTTTGGCCCTTTCAGCTTCTCCATAACATTCGTAACAACCCATGCCGCGCTTTCTCAAGAAATTCTTGTCTTCACTCTTCCACACTTCTGTAATGTCCAAGTCTTTAGATAAAGATGATAAACGAGAAAAAAGGGTCGCTTAAGTAAGAAGTCTCTTACGCATGGTCTCGACTCCAGCAGGACTTAATGTTTGGAGAAACGAATTCGAATTTGCTGAAAAACGTTTCTTTACGCATGCAAACCCACGGTCGAGTTTGTGCGCGAAAGGAGGGCAACTAACTTAATTAGAGATGCATGTAGCTAGCGATCTGTTTTGACATTCTGTTTGGGTGCGGCGAAAATGCAATAAAAAATAGTGAAATTTCTCAAACTCAACATGAGTCACTCTTGCTGCCACCAGAGTTTGCGCAAGTGCTGAACGTTCTTCAACTATTTTCACCCGTGCGTAAAAAAGAAGAAAAAAACGTAAAGAAGAAGCATTAACCCGGATCTCACCTGGGTTAGTATGGCCTTTTATCGCTTTAATGTAGTTGACCGTCAATTCCAGAATTTCAGCTTTTTCCATTTTCTCAGTTCCATTTAAATCAACTTGCGGATTCTTAAATGAAAAGCAATTCCCCTCGTAAGTGTAATTTTGCGTGGTCTTATAAATTTGAATGATCATACGAAGCTTAAATTTATTTACAATTTACTGATTTTGTTTTACGTTTGTTACTTACCCCTTGATGAATTGCTGAAAGAACGAGATTCTTTAGTTCGCTGAGGCTGTAGTTAATTCTCGCTCTCCTCTGCCTTTCCAACAAATGTTTGATGGACTTTTTAGACTGAAAATTAAACAATCACGATTTAGGTTTATGCGAGCGACTTTTAAATTGAATGAAATTGCAGATGGTGTCTTCAAAAACACCATTTTAACTTAATTACCTGTATTCGACTTCGTTTAGTGACTTTATCCACCATTTCTCTTCGAAGCCCACGTCCAAAATGGAAGATTGAAATCAAGATCTCTATCTATCAGGCCGCGGCCGCACGTTTTCACAAAGTGGCAAGCGAACGAACGCAGTAGAGAAGTTTCTTGATTCAAAAACAAAAAAAGCGAGCGCATTTTATGACATCATAAAAGGTTTATCTCTCATGGGCAATACGAAAGCAAAAAATACAAACTGACCAATAAGAAAGAAGTTGGCACACGGGAGGTTACACCTCTCACACGCGAAAAATCAATGACATAATTCTTCACTTAGGAGACGCTTCAATCAAGAACTTGCATGAATYGTGCAAACAAAAGATATATGTAAGATCTTTGCCATTCTGACAAAAGCACGTGTTTCGAATTGTTTGGCATTCAGTTTCCACTCTTTATTTCAAAATATTTTCTATCTCTGGGGTCCTGAGCGTGTGGCAGTGAATTTCCTCGGTCGTTTTAATACTTTTAACACTAGAACATTGTTCTAGCTCTATGCCAGTTGTGCCATCTTCGAGCCACTTGAGAACAATTAGCCAAGTGCGATACCATTCAAAAATGCCGGTTTTTTTGACCCACTCCAAAGGTGTCTTGCGAGTTTTTAATACTCTCGATCCACTTGTTTTGTCTTGCGATTCGAATTAATCATCTGAGCATCTGCGGGGATATCTTTTTCAAATGCTGTTTTGTGCTTATTCTGAATGCTTTGCGAAACCATGTGTGCAATTGAGAAAAGATGGTTGCCATTCATTCATATAAAACGCGTTTTGTACAGCGATTCGCAAGAGACTCTGGTGCTCCAAAGAGCAACATGCMTTTATGTACCAGTTTTTCTGCGTTTTGAAGGTATAGTTAGAAGTAGTTAAAGAAAAACAAACAAAAAAACTTTGTGGAGTRATTGATGCACGCCTTTTAGCAAAATAATTGAGTCTCGTGCTACTATTAGAGTCATCGTTTGGTCTATTAAGGTAATTCTGTTAATTGTTTTGCACTGCGCATTCCTACTGCGCGTAACGTATGAAGGCAGGACATACGACTCCGAAATAATATTAAAGTGGTACGGTTTAGGAGTTAATTAGCGCCAACAATTTCTCCATAAGGTTTGTAGGGTCATGATTTAACGGCTATCTTAAAACTTGCCTTAGTCCTCTCTTAGTCATTGAGTGTTTTGAGGCCCCGTTTCGTACTTTAGCGTGAAAACGAACTATCTTATTTTACTTAATCAACTTAACGTAAACGAGCTTAGCTGTCACATAATTGAGTTCAACGAAATTCTATGTTCAGATTTTGAAATTTTTTTCAAATATGTACCTTGGAAACTGTTTTTTATTAACTTTAAATTAAAAAATTTCTTCATACATGATCCAAAAAACCAAAGTTTGCGACATTTAACTTCAAAGATTTTTTAAATTTTGTTTTTGTAAAAGCTATGACTTTTGTYAATAATCGTCTTGCAAAGTCTTAAAACTGTCCGAAAGCTTATTTATAACAAGTGATGATCTACATCAAAATAATTTTATTTCAAATTTGTATTTTTGCAATTTTTTCATTTTATTAAAGAGAATTTCGACGTTTAAGATGCCGAATGGCTAACTTTGCTTGTGGCCAACCTTTCACACCCAACCGTACTTGACTGATCGAGGATCTGGCTCTAACCACGACATAAATCATGCGACTCTATTGTTAAAGCGCAATCATCAAGTAAAAAAAGGGGTGCCTAAAATTGGCTTCAAACTTAACAGTTTTCGAAGCATTTAGTTCAAAATTTTCTAAAACTTTATTTAACTTTAATTATCGCTTAACGACTAAAGTCACATTTAACTTTTGAAATTTGCAGGTCCTATACCGAGCATTGAATAAATCGATATAAATTGCATTTAAATGTATATTTTCCACCGAAAACGTCTGAAATCTTGATTAAATTGGTGCTAGGAACAAAAGATCTTTGAGGTGTTCTGGTGGTTGTGGTGTTGCTGTTCATTGCAGGTGCACCGTCGTGACATTGATCCCGACAGCCATTGGACAATAAAATGCATCTATAATACGTGGTCCTTTTAAACTTCGCGTGCATGCCTCGTGTGACACTCTTGGCACCTGGTACTTACTCATTCACAAAATGTAGCAGCTCTCTTCATTGTTGATTCGAGGGACTTTATAAAGACTTTCGCTAATGATTAACTACGTGGTGCTATTGTGATGATTATTTACCTTTGCAAAACAATGCAGCGAGCATGCAAAAACAATGGAATCCGAGAACTTGGGGCTTTAAAATCCTTTCTTTTGTCTCACGTCTCTAGCGATAAAACTCCACAAACGGCTGAAGGCGTAATATACGCTATAACATCTGGAGCTCTAAGCATCGAACTTGTAGAATTTTTTTTTATTAAGCCCTTTTCTTCCTTCTTAGTGGCTGAAGTAGGGTTCTTACAAATCAATATTATGAAGTCTTAATCGCTTTTAGATCTTACTACTTTTAGACCACGTGTTCTATTTAACTTCGACCGTTTTCTCCTTAGCTGAAGTGCTTGTATTTTAGAATCCTTATACTGCTTATAGCCTTAAGCTAAAAGTTGAGCATGAAATCCTAAATGAAATTGATTGTTATTTTTCTTAAGTCAAAATATATATTCACCTCGATCGTCTTGTAGTTGAAGTTAAAAAATGACAGTGCTTCTCATAAGACCTCATTYATGAATCTAAAGGTTCGAAAGTCAGGCGTCTCTCAGAGTCACACTTCACTGCAATGAAGAATTCGCCTTTGTTAGCGTGCATGCTGCATTTGCAGGAATAATTCTTAACCTATCAAAGGTAACCGAAATACAAAGAAATCTACCAAGAACGTCTTTGCTATTGTTTTTTCTTAATATTTGTCACAAATCATTGGTTTTAATTATATTAAAGTTTAAATTTGATTTTAAGCATGCATACAAGTTCCGTTTTTGYCATAATTCTCATTGCCTACACTTAAAAGGCTTTTCAATAATAGTTGCTATAATTTAAATTGTCGAACTTTCTGAAATATACGTACACCCTACTCATAAGATTTCCGAGCTTTTCAGATGTCAAAAAAGCATTTATTTTTCAATATTATTATTCTTTGTGCTATTTACAATTCGATTTAAATTTGAACTATTGCTAAGGCTTTACATTCCATATTTACAAGTTTTGATCTATTAGTTTAGTTTCAAGTACACTACCCAGTCAATCTCTTTTTCCAAATTCTTAACTATTTCCTTTTTGCTTTTTGAAATTAAGTGAGAGTCTAGAACTGGACATTCCTAAGTAAACTCAATTACTGAGCTACTTACAAATTGTTACAATAATTAACAGAATCCATAGTATATAAACTTATTTACCACGGTCTCCAGACTTGAACTTTGTTCGAAGGAACGTGTAGCGAGAAAGGAAGACTGTTAGACGCTATGACTTGCTGTTGATGGGGTGAATTGACCATTACTTTTGATAAAGGTGAAGTTGAGAGTCTAGGGATTGTAGAAGCGACTTCGTATCCTACACAAGGCCGCACACCACGGAAGCAGAGTCCTTCATTTATCGTAGAAGTTGTTCCTGGCATAGAACATGGAGTTAACGGGGGTAGATGTGGTGCTGCAAAGTGTTCCCTGCATCTTTGTGTGCCTTCGAGRGGACTGACTCTAGCGAAGCACTCGTTGTAGTTGGTGGACTGATATTTGCTTGGCATTGTCTCTTTGCTCTCAGCAGGTCGAAATCCTGGAAAAATAACAAAACTGAGATCAATACCGGCTCTAATTCTTAATATTTTGCTTAAAAACTATTCCTAGAAGTATGTTTTTACTAAGTTTAACAAAGTTTACGGGACTTCTTTATCTTGCATTAACTCTTGGCGTTATTCAAACGAGGAACTCCAGTGAAGCGTATACAATGCTGAATAGATGTTTTGCTTACCATTAATTCTTCTACTTCGTGCGAGCTTGAGAAAGTTCACAGTTAGTTCAAGGATCTCTGCTTTTTCCATCTTTTCACTGTTCTTTTCGGCTTGTGGACACTAATGAGAGAGAAAAGAGACTATCAGTTGTGATTAACACTAAAACTGGAAAAGGGTYGAGCGTATGTTTTCTAATGTAACTCTCTTTAGAGTCGTTGTTAAGTCATACTTACGCCATTGTATAGCGAAGAGAGAACGAGATTTTTCAGTTCATTCAGGCTATTATTGATCCTTGCTCGGCGCTGCCTTTCTAGAAGAGGTTTGCTTGACTTGTTAGCCTAGGAAGAGAAATTGATTGCAAAGTCAATTTTTGCTCTTAAATTGAAGGCAAAATATCACCAATAACAACATATGATAAAATATAAACTATGAAGGAAAAAAAAAAAGCGATTGCTCACCTGTTTTGCGCGTTTTGACTTGATAACTGTATCAGACATTTTAGTATGGTCCAAGAGTTCAGTTCTTACGAGAAGAGATATTCACTTTTTAACTCACTTGCAATAATGCAGTAATGCCGATTATGCATCCACGCTCTTATTTATACGGCTTACAAGGGCAAGCATTGCACATGTGATTAAGTACTCGCTACCCAATAGGAATCGCATATTGTGCATTAAACACGGGAATACAATAGACTATGCACGCGCATGCAATCCATTGATTACAATAGGGCTTTTGTTATTGTTGGTTTAYACTTGCAATTTTTGGCAGGAAGTGGGATTTGATTGCAACGATTGAATGCAGCCGGTAGCGTCGCTTCTTGTTTGTTAGAACCTACACGTGTTGCCGTCAGATAATCGAAAGTGAAGGACAGATTTTCTTTCAACTGCATTCATGGCGTGCGCGTGCTTCAGTTTGTTTGACCCAACATTACGTAAAAAAAACTATTTCATTACATTTTAGGATGGTCTTGTATTAAATCTTTTTTTTCTAATAAAAATTTTTCATTTGACTTTTGGCGTTTCTTCTATTCTACGGCAAAGATCAGCATTCACGGGCTAATGACATTAACTATTTATCATAATAAGATCAATAAAACTACTATTTCAATTGGCTAAAATCACCATCAATTTATCATTTTATCGTGAAGTTCAAAACCATTTTACGTATTTCAGAAATTCTTAAAAGATTTGAGGTTTGGAGTGCATATTTATATTTAGTACATGCTATGGCTTAAAATATGATCAAATTCAATATTTTTTTGTTGTTGATTTTTTCAAGAGAAGATACTGAATCAAGTGTATAAGAAGGGCCCTGAATTTTAGCTTCGTCTGGCATCAAAAGGAAACATGCGCAAGTCACCGTTCAGCATTATTAAAGGATTTAACTTTTGACAACTATAATTCTTTTTCCCACGATAAGTTAAAAGGGGAAAAATCCAGCTTTCTGAAGCGTCGTAAGCCCTAGTTAGCTTAGCGTCCTTTTGTCAGCCAAGACAATAGACGCTAGTGGCAGGTGTACAGGTCATGCATGTGGCACTAATTGCCGATTGCATGGCAACAAACAAGCATTGGCAAGCATCAATTATCTATTATTTAACATGCATGTCAACAACGCCGTAAACAACGTCAAACCTTGCAATATCTCGTGGAAAAACRCCAAATGCTCTTCTAGGATCTTCTACATGACTAAAAAATTGTTCTTTTTGACGGCGATATTTTCACCCTAATCATGATTTTCTTTTAAAAAAAGTTTGTTTTACAGTCTTTACACGAGTTTTTTTTGACACTAATCGTCCACTAAAAYACGTGTGGGGCATTCATGCCCCTCAAGAAAGACGCTGCGTTAAAACAGTCGTCTGAAAAAAAGTTTTGATATCAGATCTCAAATGAATTAATATTTTTTTAAAAAGTCTTGGTTTTGTTTATATTTTGACTTGTAAGCCCGTAGAACCCAAGAACAGCGGCCTTCCTAGTAGAAATACGGTGCGAAAGCTATGCTGGGTAGTTTATTATTGGAAGAAAAAATGGCGGCAAGAAGTTTTAAGGTTCAAAAATGGCCAAAAATCACTTAAAAATACACTTCAGAAACAACCAAGAAATATCTTAACCCGGAAAAGGGATTCCAAGGAAGTAATTATGGATGAAAAAGCTCGTTTGGCTTCGGCGGGGAGCGAGATAAAGCTGTGGGAAATGCCGGGTTTGGTGATGACGAACTCAATGAGTCTTCATTCTCAACCAGTTTCTTCTCTTTGCTGGGGAAATAATAGTATCCTTTTATGGTGTGATGTTTATTTTTTGTCCTCATATCCTCGAGGGATACTTGTGTTTTACGATACATCTGGTGTTCTTTCAAGAATTGGCTTTACAGTGCTGTCACCTTGGTTGCTAGACACTTGACAAAAGTTTAGATTAATTAAAATAATTTAGCTTTACTCGACTCGCTTGTTTAATAAAATGAAAATTGCGAAATATTATTATACAATATTTGGAATCATTACAAAATTGAATAAAAACAAGGTTCTCTCAGGACTTTGCAACTTAATTTCCTCTCAAACACTCGATTTTCGTCTTTTATTAGATTTGTTATTACAACTTAATTAGTCGAAACGAAAAAATAAAATAATAAATAAATAAATAAAAATATTGAATCATGACTTCATATTTTTATTCTCTATAATTTCATGGGAAATAACGAGCTCATACTTGTAAACTGTATTATTTCATTCTTCAATTCTTTCTCATCAAAAAATGAAATTATTTTTGCTAAATTACTTTTTTTTTTTGCATTGTGATTATGTTTTATCCATTATAATAATCCCCTTCGAACTCTCGATTAATTGCAATGTTTCCAAAACGAATGTCATTGTAATAGTTACAGGAATTAGGAACAAAACATCTGTTGCATTGTATTCTTTATTTCATTTTGTTATCTAATTTTTCTCCAATCTCTCTCCATCTCCTGTATATGAATAGAATAGAAATTATTATGCAAAAATTTGGGATTACTGATGAAAACCCATACTAATGGATGTACATCAATGCTAATAGATATACATTGATTACCAATTTGATGCAATGATTTTGATCGATTAGTTATATTTTTGTGATTATCATTTAATCATCAAAATTCTGATACCAAATGATATTAATTACATAATTATATCATTGATATTGCTTTATCTATTGCATTTCTGATTGATCTATGAAGGAATTYTCTACTTTTCTATTGTCAGAGTTAGCCTCAATTTTGTGCAGAAAATCCCTGTATTTCAGTGAACGTCCACAGATTTTTAAAGTGTTTGTATTAGTGATATATAAATGTTGAATATTTTGATGCTGAAATGAATATAATCCTGAGTAAGTGAGTTTTTAATCAAGGAAAACAGTGGTATTTAGAAGGGGCAMTTGGATGAAAATCAATGAAAATTGAAAATGACTTGAAACTTGGTTAAACTTATCTATATGGCCACAACAGTAGCCAAGCAACATATTTTCTTCACAGTAAAAAGTGGGGGATAAAAATGAGAATATTTTATTTAGCATCTAAATTGTGAGTAAATTACATCATTAACTCAACCCTATTGTTCTTTCTGGTTTTGAACCAAAATTTCTCAACTGCAAGTGGCTCCCAGGCTAAAATTTTTACTAATCATATTTACATGGTCATAATTGAGTCATATTATCCTCAAATACTTCAGTTATTACTGGACTTTCAAAAATTTGGGCATTTTCATTCAAGTGCCACTTTAAATTTTTTTAAAAGAGTCTACTTAGTCATAAAATGGCCTAGATGGGCAATATTTCCTTAACAACTATCAGATCAAACTCTTGTCAGTGTTGGTGGTGACAAGGTTGTAGTGACATACTTAAAAAAYGGAGCCATTAGTTCTACTGAGATGGCCGTAGGGGTAAGTATTAATGAATGCTGAGCTTTGCCACTTTTGACAAGAAAAAATTAAAAGAAGAACAATTCTTCAAAAGTTGATGCTTATATTTGTTAATATTTTGTTAATATCATTGTCTAATAGGATGGCTATTCTTGTGCTGCCTTTAATTCTACTTCAAGATATTTATTGCTGGGTGGCAAAACAAAGACATTGAGTGTGTGGGATTTAAAATCCAAGAGTGTAAAGAAGACATATAAGGTATATATGAAATACTTCTTTTTCTACCCACCGATTATTCAGCTCACATGTTGATTCTAATGGAGGAAGAAAAACTTGAAAACCCCAAGAAAAACCTACTTGGCAAGGAAAAAATACGACCAATCACTACAAATCCTTATATCCTCTCTACCCATCTCTCCTTAGAAAACTTAATATTTTTTTATTATGTAGGAAAGATGACTCCATTTTGTTTTTCTCTCTGCCTTTTCCATAATATGTTTTCCTTTGCAATCATTTCATGTTCTATGTCTTTGTTTAGGAACACAAAGATGCTGTTTCGTGCTTGACATTCAACCATAATGATACAACAATAGCATCAGGTGCCCTAGATGGCAATATTCTGCTTCATAACGTAGTTACTGGACAAGCTAGTTCACCATTAAGACAGCCCAATACACAGGTACTGTTTGAATAATTGCCCACATATGTAACTCATATATATCAGAGAATTACAGTGTGTGCACTAGATAATTATTGTAATAGTAATAATAATTAGTGCACGAAGGGATTTCATACAGCTTTGAGGGATCCTAATCAATCCATTTTTCTTATAATTCTCACTTTTTGATTGGGAGCATATGTTGTATTCATGAATGAAAGAAATGAAAAAAAATTGCTTACTGTGCTGTGTGCATGCAGTTATACATGTAAAGCAATCCTTGCATACTTTATACACTGGATGGAATATGGCGACCATTTTGAATAACTATTGTTTGTGACTGACTAATCTTTCATCGTTTGAAATTGCTATTTTTCAATGTGAACATGAGGGGCTAGTCAGCACAGAACAATGTTCAATAGACCTAATCAACTAACGTGTTGCTATGTACGTTACCACCCAATTCAAACCTTCTGGGAACAGAAGTGTTTGTCTCTACAAATTCAACTGTGAAACCAAAATATAACGAACAATGAAACTTACTCCCATGTGGTTTGAATTGGGTGGAAACGTTTATAGCAACACGTTAGCCTATTAGGTCTATTCAAATTGTTGGCCATATTTCCATTCAGTGTATAACTGTGCACACACATTGTGTACATGTGTGTTTTTCTATTTCTTCATTCTTAATGCAACAATCTGTGGTACTGTAGGCAATAAGAGGGCTACAATATTCCTACTTCAAGAAAAGTCTCCTGGCATCAGTCAGTGATGATGGAGCTCTCAACATGTGGGATACTAATGCACGTAAAATGGTAACATCCTTCACCAATGACCACAAGGCACCTGCTACTGGTCTGTGCTTCTCTCCAGTCAATGAAATGCTTCTTGTTAGTACTGGCTTGGACAAAAAGATTGTGTTTTATGATGTACAGGGCAAAAAGTGAGTATGATGATGGTTCAGTGTGAATGGACTAAATGTTTTAAAGGTATTACTAAACACTGATAGAATTGTAGTCTTTTTGCTCTCTCTTTACAGTGCGCATTGTGCAAAAGTATTTGCATACTTCTATGCACGGCTTCTGTACATAAAATTGACACGTTTTGATGTGAAGCTGGCTGGTTTTACCAAATAGGGCTTCCAAGGGTTGTTTGGCAGGAAAATGCCTGTGCATAGAAGTATGCAAATATTAGATTCGGTCATGCTTTTGCGTGTTGTACTGTAAGGGGAGGTTGTTGCTGTATGGTCCTGATAGGGCTTTATGAGAAAGAAATATAATAGAAAATAAATTTTCCTCATAAGGAAGTTAATGATTGTCTTTGCAAGGGTTCTTGCCTCTCTGCTTTTTGATTTGTCAAGTTTATAATTTTCCGTTCTCATTCTTGCAGATCAGTCAAGGTAATGACTGCTGAGGCACCCTTAACGTCTGTAGATTTTCTCCATGATGGTGTCACTCTTGCTGTTGGTACTACAAGAGGTAACTGTCACTGTTGAAAAATATGCAGACTGTCTGTCTGTATATATGTTAYGCTAGGTTGAAGGGGCGAACAGTGATTGGTGATTGACAATTGCGCAACCAAAAGGAACTGTGGACATACACTGTACATCGATTGAATTGAAGTGTTTTAAATGGTATTGTTGACTACAAACAACACTTYGAGTTAATGACAGTAATAATAATAAGAAACTACAGTCATTTCAGCTATTCTTAAACCTTGGATTCATGACCTATCACTTCTTATYGCCTATCATTTATTACTTATTACCTTTTATGTATATTACCTAATGGCTACCCTTTAACTCTCAATACTTTTTCTTGGTTATTAGGTAAAATCTGTGTGTATGATCTGCGGAGTGGATCTACACCTGTTGCAGTWCAACCAGCTCACATGTCCTCTGTTCAGTGTCTCAAGTTTGAAAGCTCATCTACTTCAAGCTCCAAGGTTAGTACTTTTACAAAACATAGTTTTTAATATTGATTATTCATAATTGTTTTTTTAAGTCTGCTGTTTATTTGTTAGTCTTCTTTTAGCCTGTGTGTAATTTTTTCCATTTTACTATGCTTCATTCCCTAGAGTATTATTTCTTTAAAAATTCCTTAAAATAGTTTAGTTCAAGAAAGTACAATTTTCTTTACAGAATGCTCCAGGGTCTATAAACAAAGTAACAAAGTCTGTAACATCTGTCAATATCAGACCAAGGACCACTTCTCGCAATCTACCAGAACAGCCCCACCCCTCTACCCCAAAAAACTATCCTGCGTCACCAGCAACAACGAACTCCACAACACCTCAGTTCAATGATCCAACACCCAAACTATCAGTTCAGCAACAAAATGGAATCAAAGAAGATGAGGACATATTTTCTCCTTTAAGAGAAGGTACAACAGAACTCATGTGTCTGCCACCCACCCCTCCTTCTATATACCTGCGGAACCAGAGGCTTGTGAGGAGCGGCCCCTCCTTCTCTCTCCTCCCCATTCCCAGGCTACTGTAACCAAACTCTTAATTCTGTTTCCTTTTGACTAAAATATAATATACGTGCCTATAAGAAGCAAAAATATGGCAAGGAAGAATAAAAACAATTTCAAGCTCCAAAAATGCTTAGGGCTGGTCATTTTGCCCTCTCATGCTTTGTGCTGCATTCGCCACTCAGCTGGACTATGTTGTAGATCTTCCATAATGATAGATGAATAACAAATTTTTCATATTTTCCAGCCAAAGTCCCTATGGTTATTAACAATCGCAGAGATGAAGAGAGGCCCATTCCTCCCCCTTATGGCTTTGACCAGGAGGGACTGGTAAAAGACAACAAGCATTTTGATGGTAAGTGTAGGAGCAGGGCTACAGGCTATAAATTATCCTTATTAGCTTCAATATCAAACTGAGTCTAAGGGTACTAAGACATTATTCCCTGTTCTACTGACTTCTACCACAGGCTTGTGTGGAAAAAAAAATCCATTTTCATCAGGGATTTATACTTATAATCATTAGCCTCAACATTAAAACGAGTCCAGGGTCAATAACGTCATTCCTTGTTCTACCACGTACCTGTTGATGTGTGTGTAAGTGTGTGTATTAGCCTCAACATTAAAACGAGTCCAGGGTCAATAACGTCATTCCTTGTTCTACCACGTACCTGTTGATGGGTATATAAATATGTGCATTATATATTGGCTCCATGCAGTGATTACTACATGTGGTTTATTCCAAAGTTATATCACTTTAATGTTATTTTATATTGTGGTTTACATTGGTGTTAAAAAAATTATTTGCTTGAATTTTGAACAAACCTTTGCCCCACCCCACCCCACCCTACCCCCCAAATAAACCAATTGAGGTATCATTTCTGAAAGCTCCATTAAAAGTTTGTTAGTCTTTTCTTGCTATTGAAACACTTGACTAAACACTAATTCAATATATCGTTTGCGTTTGATTCAAATTCATAGCCCACCCGTTGAGCATTAAGCATTATTTGCAACCAAATYAAGTAATAAAAATTATATTTACATACTTCGACTTCGTCTCTAGCATATACATCTCTACAGACATCTCAGCTTAAAAATTTCTTGTCCCGATAATTTTTTTTGGAAAAATTTTAGCGAGGTCCGCGGGGTACGAATCGTTTTTTTTTTTTTTTTGGTGCGAAGACGATAAAGAAATTGAAAATCGAAATCTGTAGTATAATATGATGGAATGATGAAGAAGAGATTGAGTACCGTTTACTTCCACAGAAATAAGAAATCGCAAGGTAAAACAATCACGTTCATAGATTTTTTTGTATTCATATTTGTTTTCCCCCCGAATGCTTACGATTTGGTATGCCATTTTTATTGTTATATTGATAACTTTATAGAGATATTTAACTATTCGTGCGTCAAGTGTTTGAAGGCATTTGTTTTGGAATTTCCTTGGGAAAAGAAAATTCTAAAAAAAGAATGTCAGTATTCCAGGATGTGACMGATAAATTTGTTCGTTTTTTGCGTTACTTTTCCCACAGTGTTATAGTTTTTGAGGTATTTGAATTGCAATTGTTTTAAGCACGAAAATTACACCGGAAAAATTAATGAATGTGACGATTGTTCAGGATGTTAAAGTTTTAAAGGTTCCCATTAAATTCTGTGAGTGGCACACGTTCACAAGAGGCAGTAACAAAATAAACCCGTTATATTTTTTGACACTCGACCGTCCTTTGAACGATGTGAACAAGTGCCTACAATACCTTTTGGGRTACCTGTTTTCGTTACTCAGTTAGCTGTTCTTATCGTGGGTTACATGTGGTTAAATTTAAGCAAAGTTAACTGGGAGTGGAGTGCTGGCCAGCGGTGTGAGACTTGCGCATGCGCAGTTGCTGCCTAAGGCCTCGTGGTTGCTGTAGCTGAGTTGCTGTTAGCCATTGCCTTCATATCGCGGTTTTGCCCCGCCCACCCTCCTCTGGTTGGACAAGGTAAGTAGTTTACTTCCACTGTGTAAGCAGTGTGACAGGTGCCGAGGTTGAYCCGTGGCTTGGTTGCCATGGTTACCTCTTGCCAGCTAGTTGCCATCGCCTACCGCTTTGCCAGGCACCTACTCTCCATCGTAACGACAAGTTAACTGTGTATTTTTATATAGGTTGCTATCAATAGACGTCACTTCCGGTAATAGCTCTTTATTGATAGCTTGTAGAATCCTGGAGGTTGTTTTGATCTCTTGTTTTCTGGTTTGATGTCGTGAAAATAGTCAAATACAATAGTTTGAGGACTTATTTTGATATGTTTTGACTTAGCATCCGCTAGTTGCCCCCCAGTCAACCGCTTGATTGCCCCCCAGTCAACTCTAAAAAAGTCACGTGATTGATAGTAAGCAATTAAAAAAAAAAAAAAAGAAAAAAATCGAAGCCCGGGCTTTTTGTTGTTTTTATTTATTTTAAGCGAAATTTCAATTTTGGATTCAGAACTACTGAAGTTTATCCCACAACAGGTGACCCTAATTGTTCTCTTGTTTTGATGTATTCAAGCGCAACACATGCTCTCCTTCTTTGGTTTTTAGATGTTTTCAAAAGACATTGGTTTCCATGATTACCGTTGCATTCCTGTTTAACTGGGCTTTCTGTGGTACAGTAAACGTTTCCTATCGTTGAACCTAAGATCAGCGATAGTATTTCTAATGTCCTTCCAATCCAAGCAGGTACCAGAAAGGCTTTGAATATAACATTAGCTGTGTTAGTATCCTTGTTGATGCCTCTGGTTACCACGGTAACAGCTAGTCAATACTGTTGTGAATATTAAATGGTTGTTTGCGAGTTACTGAGCTTACACAAGGTGTTTTCTAGATTATTTGATAACTATTCTGCCATTTATTCTTTATAATTTAAGCCATTTCTTAGTAAAAAGCTTGCTCAAACTCGTATGTATCAAAGGTGACACTTAAATTTTTCTTTGGAAAAACCGAGTATGGAAAAAAGCGTTTTGTAGAAGGTTGAATCTGCGTTCAACTGAGTTGTCAGTTTATTACATCCTCAGCAGGTAGTTCATTCTCTATATCATATCAACCTGCTGCCTTAACAGCCTTTTAACGCCTTACAATAAAGGAAATCATTACACAGACTTTATTTAATGAGATTCTCGTCAGTGCTATGAGTTTTTGCACTTGAAAGGTTTGCTTTGGAGAAAACCAATCAAACGTCATGATTCTGGGCCTGTGATTGGTTGGTTTAATGCTAGTAAACATATATCGTAACCATGTATTACTTAATGCGCAGGTGTTTTTGCGTGTGGTAAAAAAACTGGTTTTTACTTGTACAAAATCCCCTAAAACTGGTTTAACAGTAAAACAACTGGAAAACAAGTTTGTCGAGTCTGAAAATACAAATTGAAAAAAACAAATTTTGAATAACAAATTGTGAATGTAGTTTTTGCCCAATAGTTGAAATCTGCTCTTCAAATTATTATTTTTTAAACATTCCTACTCTGGTCCACTTTTATGTGAATGTCAATTTGCCGCCAGAAAGAATTTCGTTGAAAATCGTCGCAGTAAAAATCTGTTTGTATCTGATTAGGCTAATCGAAGCAGTTGGTGATTGTGCGCATGCGACCGATCTCTCCTGTTTTATTTTCATTTGCTTTTATCAAGACATTTAGATATATGTGAATTAATTCGAATGATACAAAATATAGAACAACATCCATAGAGGATGGTAAGCGCATAATCACTATCAGGGTCTACGTTCTCTATATTTCTCGTAGGAAAATCAAAGATAGATAGGAAGCTCAAGAATGGGAACCAATATTTTCTTTTTCGCTAGACGTTCATTGTTGACTTAGGATACGTTTGGTTTTACAATCAAGCATATCGAATGAAACGCAAGCTGCATGTTATCAAGATTTCCCGCGCTGTGAGCAAGTGGTCGTGTTGTGCGCTATGGGCCGCGTTGTGCGGAAGTACCCGCGTTGTGCGGAAGTACCCGCGTTGTGCGGAAGTACCCGCGTTGTGCGGAAGTACCCGCGTTGTGCGGAAGTACCCGCGTTGTGTGCAAGTACCCGCGTTGTGTGCAAGTACCCGCGTTGTGTGCAAGTACCCGCGTTGTGTGCAAGTACCCATTGGGGAAGGGGGACCGCAGGCTGCATTACTAAGATTTTCCGCGCAATTGTTTAAAAAATAGCTTCAAATTGAGATCAATGGAGGATTACATATTTTGCGCGCAGCATTGCTAGATGCCGAGTTTTCAAGGAATTGCTTTGACACGCCACACCACGCAATCCCCTCATTAGTTAATGAATAAACGCTTTACTGCTTTGTCTAACCGGACTTTTCTTCTTGCAGGTTCTGGCATCTTCTCACCCCTTGCCAGTACCAACAACCAATCAGATACCAGACAGCATCCAGTAGGTGGACCAGCCTATTATCATCCAGATCAAGGAACCCCTCGAACCACTGCCGAACCTACATCGTACGGTTCTCGGTCACAAAATGCCCTTTACTCCAATACTAGGAACACAGAGGAACAGAAACCACTGCAGCCTGACTACGACAGAAAAAAGAAGTACGAAGATCTTCGAGAGATTCGAGCGCAAATCAGCCCAGATGCTACTGATTCTGTCTCTAGACCGGAAAGTGATTATTACGATACAAGAACCAGAATACCATCAGATTCTTCGGCTTCAGGGGCTAGAAATCCTTTTGAGACGTCACCCACTCTCTCGAGACATTCGTCCAATTCTTCTGATATTTATTCTCGGCCTGAGGCTGATTTTGTACGAGCCCGCCAAGATCGTAGGTCAGCAGGCAGCGAAAGTAGTTACCAAGGGGATGCCAATCATTCCGCGGCTGCAGCCAATGGGAGCGCAAGATTGGTAAGCGTACTTTTCGTTCTTCTGGGACTGAAGGTTTTGATTCTTCATTTTTTCTTCTTTTTCTTCTTTTATTTTAGTCTCGTTCTCCTGGCGGTTCTTCTTATCAACCACGACGCACATCTAGCGATAGCATAGGAGATAGAAAAGATGGTAAGGGTAAATCATTTTTAAGCCGATATTCAGTGTATGGAATAGTTTTGAAAACTTACGCTAATAGATCTTTTTCGAGATGCGCGAGCGCTGTCAAAGGTATCGCGTGCTCAAATTCGAAAACGAGGCATTTTCGGGCAAGACTCTGATGCGCGCGCAAGGAAAACACATACAGAACTTTGAGCAGGATAATAAGTTAAAATATATATATATATATAGCTCACTTCAGAAAAAATATTTTCCTTAAAGGTTTTAAAAATCTCCTTTAACTCTATGGTCTCTATTGGTTTCGTTTTGTTATCACAATGCCCGCAAATAAATCRCAATCGTTAGAGTTGATTTTGTACAACTGTCAAACGTTGAGGCAAAGGATGCGTTCACGTTACAGAATTGACGAAATCCAGTAAACCAATCACATCGCGCAAAAATACTTTTGGCCAATGAAAATGCTCAACACGGCACACGTCACGCTCACTACGAGTTTTTCTATTCAATGAATAAACGTTGCTGTTGTAGTACCATAACTGTGACTTGTATAGGGGTCTTTAAGTTCAAAACAATTACGCTTTGATTTTCCAAATGCAGTAACAAAGCTTTTTGATGTGCTGCGCATGACATCATTATATAGTTAGGATAGTACGCGCGCGCTGATTGGTCGAAAATTGTGCTTCATTAGTGAATGGAGCACAGGGCTGACGCCATCCGCGCACGTGAAGGTTACTGGATCCTATGACCGTCTTTCTTTTTGCATTAATAAATTCAATACAAATATATATATATTAGCTATATAATAAAACAAATAAAACAGCTTTTTCTGTGCTCCGTTCAGTACTAAAGCACGCAGCAAGTGACATAAGCACAAAAGATTTTTGTTAAATAAATCACATGCAACACAAATGGCATGCAATGCTTATAGATTGTGATGTATCATAGGTTTGGATGGTCCAGGCATTGTGAAGAAGAGTAATGAGATGCCTTACACTAATGGAGATGTTGCAGGTGCTGTAGCGAATAATGCAGGCCTTCAGCCATTCCAGATTGAGTTCATTAAGAACATGATTGATGATTCAATGGATGAATTCAGGTGAGGCTGACAGTTACTAAATCATCCTAGATTATAAGATATTTTGCCACCCTTGAAGGGCTGGTATAGTAGAGTCTAGACATGTGAGAATATTGACTCAAAAATGAGGAACATGATACCACGACTAGCCCATTTATGATGGATTGTTTTGCAATCATTGCTGTAAAACCGTATGTGTAGCCTTGATGGTGCATTCTGATTGGTTGAACAGACAATTGCTTTCATGGAGATTAGTTTAACACATGTCATGGATGTCCTTGCTTATACTGTTTGCACACTACGTATCTGTTAGTACATACTGAGTATTAAGTGTACTGTTATATGTTTGTTTGTAGGGTTGCCATTCACAGAGATGTGGTCAACCTTCAGGTGGAAATGCTACGGCAGTTCCAGATCCAACAGGTAAGCAAGATTGGAACCACTCATCAAAATGTAATGAATTGTAGAAAGCTAATACTGTGGGTGGTCACTGTTGAAAAGCTTAACGATGGTTGTGATGGTGATAATGACAGCAATGATGTTGGGGATGATGGTAGATGGTGATGATGGTGGTGCAGGATAATGATGGTGCATGATGATGATGGTGGTAGCATTGAAAGTGCTGATAGATGTTGATAGTAATGTTGATGATGGTAGTATAATGGTACATGATGATGGTGGTGATGATGATGGTTCATGATGATGATAGTGCCGATGGTGATGGAGCATGATGATGATGGTGCATGATGATGATGGTGCATGATGATGATGGTGCATGATGATGATGGTGCATGATGATGGTGGTGATGGTTCATGATGTGATGATGATGGGTAATGAAGATTTTGTGATAATGGTGAAGGTGATGATGTATCGATTATATGTATGTATCAGGTATTGATTATTTTATATTTTTTTGCAGAATGAATTGCGTGAAATGATGGAAAAATACTCGATCAACGAAGCCTTAGTCCAGGAAATTGATAGATTACGAGAAGAAAACCGACGCTTAAAAACCAAGTATTGAATGGATGGATAAAGAACGTGTTACTATAGCTTTAACTAGTTATGCGAGTAGTTAAGACTGGAAGGGAAATGAAAGGTAGATACTACTGCTTTATATCAAAGAACCATTAACAAAGCCTAAATTTAGAAATATTGCTTTCTTAAAGCGCTGTAGTGATACCATAGTCACTATGTTGAGTGAATGCAACCAACAATTTGTTCCATTCAACATGGCAGCCATGCAAAATGCTTTCACTCAAATAGTTCAATGCTTTCAGTACTGGGGGGGAAATCCTAATATTTGTAATGGTAACAGATTTAATATTACCTAGTATTTATATTTATACCTAAGATTTTATACCTTTGGTAAAAAAGTTAAGGATGTGGTTTTGATACTAATAAAAAATTCTTGTTCCCAGAGCCTCTCTTCTTTTGATGTCCGTAAAAAAATAAGGAACTGGGCACAATTCCATAAACTGGAAACCAACAGCTGGGTTTTTATTGTCATGTTAGCCAATCAGAAAAGGGAATACCCAGAAACTTGTTTGGATTGGTGGAGACCAAAAGGAGTGGAGGCTCTGGGAATGAGTTTAAAAGTATATATTTTGTGTAGTAGAGTATAAAAGAAAAGGTGCAAATTTTAATGATTAATGTATCAGTTTTTCTTAAAATGAATAATTTGAAAAGTCAATTGATTTTGCATGAACAAAAAAACAATTTTGGCTTTTTGCATTTGTAGAACAGATTTCTAAATGTTTGATCAGCAATTTTTTGTACTGGGAAAATTGCTCATTGTCACACAGCGTGTACCCTGTGAGCACACATGATTTTTTTGGGTAACATGGCAGGCTGGAGGGCCAAAACATGGTAGAAAAAAAACACATGCAGAACCTACAGAATTTAAAGTAAAGCACTTGTGCATGCTTTACAACTATTTTGACAAGCTGTGTAGAATGCATACCATATATCCATGAAAAACTTTGTAAGAAATTGCACAAATTAGTAAGGTCTGACTTAACTTGGACAATGTTGTTAGATTACTTTTTCACAGATATATGGTATGCACACATGAATTTATAACAAAAATAATTTGTAAGAAATTAGAGTTATTAGTTGTTGCTTGATATAAAAAAAAAACCTTTCCTGAACATCAAACTTCTCTGGTACCAATTCTATTAGGTAGTACAATACTACATTCCATTATTACTTGGGAAGTTTGATTTTCGAGTTAGAGTTAACTGTACAATATGTCTATTGCAAAATTGCATTGAAGTTTTTTGTAGAATATTGTTCAATAGATAATTGAATATTTACAGACTGCATTGTATGTCTCTTAAAAATGATTCAGTGTTTATGTAAAAATGTAATTGGAAATGATAATTCTTGTTGTCACATCGAAAGATTACCTCCAGCTATCAAAAGCCATGTGATTCTCCAACCCAACCACATCCCTGGGGTCATTTACGGGCTGCTCCCTCTGGACTTATACAAATTTTCCCTCGTTTGGGGAAATTTAATCACTAATTTTCCTCGTGCCATGGTATCACTTATAATTATTTACCGGTCAGAAGGTCCGGATATGGGACGAAAGCGAAATCCGAGTAACTTCATGTAACGTATCATAAGTAGACGACGTAAGACGACGAACGTTACATGAAGTTACTTGGATTAACTGAAGAAACCCATGAATCAAGGAAAGAATCTATTTAGCGTTTTGATAGTAACTTCATACCCACTAAACAATGCAATATGTACTATAGGGGCTCTAACAAGACCTGGAATGAATCCCCGGTACAGGGCTTTTATCCCTTCACTCTGTAGAATAACCCTAATGATGTCCCTCCCTCCACGCTGGTATAGGCCTACTGGAGCCACTTGATATCGGGTTTTTACGACATCGATGGGATATGACACACCCCAAAAGACCAGTCCTGCACTTCCTCCAGCAATAACAATGGATGTCATGGTAACGTCATCCCGTGTGCCATCATGTGGTCTCAAGTACTTTTGAATGCTTTCATAGGTCAGGTACCAAAATCCATTGCCGGTCACATCTCTGATCATGGTCACACCTAACCCTCGGAAAACCCCTCGGAAGCCTTCTGTACGGAAGACGCCTTTTAGAATTCCAATAGGACCTGTTTTCTTGTTGACTCCTGAACTTTCTTGGACTTGAAGAAGACACTTAATCCTTTCCGCAGGGCCATAAAGAAAGGCACAACAAAAACCACAAAAAAGCCCAGCATTCATGTATTGGACCAGTGTTGGTTCTTGTTCAGGGTTTTCCAGCTGTAGTCGCTTACCAAGGGAAAGACTGTAGAATGCAAGGGCTGAGCCTGGAGTTGCTATCAAGATGGGAGCAAACATTCCACGAAACAGACCTCTGACACCGTCAGCCTTGATAATCTTTACTAGGCAGTCTAAAGGTCCCTTAAAGGGAGGGGCTTGTCCTGGTTGTACATTAGACGTTACTTGGAGGCGTACCTTGACCATGTCTAGTGGTTGGCCGACCATGCAGCCAAACATGCCGCCTATGGACCCTGCTATGAAGTTCCGTGTGGGTGACAGACGGCGTGCATTTGTTCGACTCTCGTCTTCAAACCTCAACTCCGTTTCAGCCGCGAGACTCATGTCTGGTGCCGAAGTAAACGAAAGTAAGCAGTTAGTATAGCTTTAGAGTAGTCGTATAATAACAGTGCTCATAATATCTCGGAACCAATCACAATTCTGATTATGGCAAAAAATACAAAACGCCCTGTCATCTTAGTCAAGCATTATAATTGGATATAATTTCGTGTATTTTGATTGGTTAAGCTAGGAAACTATTTTCGAAATTATAATACCACTATCCCGTGCATTAGAATACATAAACATATATCCATAAAAAACTTTGCAAGAAATTGCACAAATTAGTTTAGTTCAGTAGGCCTCAGTAGACTATGTAGACTTAAAAAACTTTGCACTATTCTTGTACAATCTTGTTAATTAACTCTTTCATGATAGTCTATCCGTGAAATAGTACTAGCTAATTAGTACAAAATAGCACCAACGAAACAGTTTTTGTGCAAGAGTGAAGGCATTTAACCAAAAGAAGACTGTGGAATAGGGTATCATCCTAATATCTATTTCACGGTTTTAATGACTTCACTCTATTTCATGGAAAGATAGTGTATTGTAATTCATAATTAGTGGGCCAGATTGGAAAAAAGCCTTGCTTTATCTGTTTACCCAATGAAGATTATTATTATTATTACACATATATTTGGTTTGCACTCTATGCACTTTACTGCTTTGTGATCTAAGTTCACTTCTATTAATTAGTTTTGGGTTCCCTGTGTTGATAAGGAATACAGACTCAAATTATTGTTATGGAGATTTTCCGCTGTATAACCAGGTCAAAACGTTCCTCTTCAAGGCCTTACATCGTATACATTAAAATGATATGGATCTAAAACGGATTACTGGTTGTTTTTATAGTCTCTGTAGCTTGAATTTATGGATAGTTATATAATAAACAGAATATTACGAATACATAATGGGCGCTTGGAGATACGAAATTTATCTTCTCGTGTTGAAAATCTCTCACTGTTCGCTGCGCTCAGTCGTGAGAGATCTTTTCAACACTCGAAGATCTCCGCGCGCCCATGTAGTATCCCCTATATAATATACATACATACATACATACTTGTACAAATTCTTGACTTTAATACTGCTCCTAGCTTGGATATTATCCACGTGATTGTGAAATAGACAGTAGAGTTAATACGTCCAGATCAATGCTAGCTTGATCCTTGATAACTTTGTGTTAATAGTTCTATCACTCTACCTACTGAAGCTAAAGGAAAAATGAAGAGTAGAAGTAGGCTGTTCTTCTGCCTCTTCTGTAGTGACGAATCAATACACGAAGCCGTGTGCCCTCGTACGTGACCGTGACTAGATTATGCAAAAATACATATATATATCCTAGAGTCACGCGAGTCACGCACTATCAACATACAGCCTGTTTATCTGTAATATAATGCACACCCATCACGCTCGTCCTGATACCGTAAAGAAATTGGACAGCTAGTTTCTTGAYTTAAATTCTTCGAGGTTTTTAGACGGGTAGAGTACATATCTAGGGTGAGTATTCAATGTGTAGAACGTTCTGATGGATAAACAAACATGTATATATATTCATATCTCCCTCGAGATTCTTTCTACTCTTTGTACGGTAGTTTTGTGTTCTTCGTATTCTGAATAACCAGGTTTTGGACATCAATATTATGGACGTATCCCTGAAACGGAACCCTGTAAATATCAATAATTACTATTAGCAATACCCTGCGAATCCATGGTATACCACTAAAATCTGATGCCTTAACAATCGCCCAAGTAAATCTGATGCTGGCTATTGCTCGAATTAAACTTTTTTGTGATAACTAGTAACATGAATTGTAAGAATCTAAAGTTTACATGACAGTGAGAACTGAAGATTTGATATGTTTAGTTGAATTACTCAAATCGTAGAGAGTTTAGAAGGTCATGCTATGGTCACGTGATCAAGTACGATGTGTATTTCTCTTATCTAAAAGCATTCATCGACTCATTTCCCACCCATCTATTCACTTATTTATCAACCTTCACTCAACTTCCCACCTATCCAGCCATTAATTCATTAGTTCATTTATCAATCCATTTACTAAAATTTTTCAATCCTCCATCCATTTGTTGGTACCTCRCAGCTGCTGCGTGTCAACACTGATAGCGGCTGCGAGGGAAACCATCCATCTGTCAATCCATTTGTTCATTCATTCACCCACATTCCCATCCTTACAACCATCCATCCCATTCATCCATATTTTGATGCAGAGTCGTGATATCAATTGCTGTAGCTAGACCTGGTTTCTTGAAAACAGGAATTAAAATCAGGTTTCAGGGTCATGTAAACTTCAACCAAAAATCCCCAAACACTTGAAATCAGCATCATTTTCAGTCACAAAACCCAGGAAACCCAACAAAGCACTCAGTTGATGTAATGTATTCAGAAAATCTATCGTATTCTATTGTTGTTCTATCTATTGTATTAGGTGTGATTTATTGTATTTTTATGAAACACTACATCAACTGCTTGCTATGTAGGCTCTCCCCACAAAATTCACTTTTTCCCACAGGACAGTTTGGTCATGGCTGCACCAGGCACAGACCATGCAGACCTTGACCGAGTCAATACCAGACGTCTGTCGCCGGTCCGCAATCTTGTGGCTGGGTCTATAGGAGGCATGTTCAGCTGGATGGTAGGTCAGCCACTGGACATGCTCAAAGTCAAGATGCAAGTACAATCACCAACCAATCCAATCTACACTGGAGCACTGGACTGCCTGAAGAAGACTATCAAAGCAGATGGTATCAGGGGGTTGTACAGGGGTATGCTTGCACCTGTACTCATGGCCACACCTGTCACAGCAGTCACTTTTTACAGTCTTGCGATTGGAAAGAAGCTGCAGCTTGACGATCCCAACCAAGAGCCGACAATACCCCAGTACTTGAAGGCTGGTCTCTTTTGTGGCTTCTGCGTGGGTTTCTTCTACGGCCCAGCCGAGAGGCTCAAGTGTCTTCTACAGACGCAGAAATCCACGGGTGGGGTTGCAAAGTACAATGGTATGTTTGATTGCCTTAAGAAGGTGTTCATGGAAAGTGGAGTCCGAGGTGTCTTCCGGGGGCTGGGTCCAACTCTGATTCGTGAGATCCTGGGAGGCGGAGCTTGGTACGTCACTTACGAAGGCCTTCTAAAGATGACGAGACCAAGTGATAGCACACGTGACGATGTTGGGGCTCTTTCAATCCTTGTTGCTGGTGGTGCAGCAGGGTTTGCATTCTGGGGTTTAGTATATCCAGTAGATGTGCTTAAAACAAGATTACAAGTGGCTCCTGTTGAGGCATACCCTCATGGTGCCAGAGGGATTTTAAGGGACATTATAGCGAAGGAAGCCATAGGAATCTTATATAGAGGTTATATGCCTGCAATAACTAGGGCTGTGGTAGTACATGCAGCACTGTTYGTAGGATATGAATTTACCATGAAAGCAATGACTTGGATGTTTCCATAGTGACATCCAGTTGTAAATACTTACAACACAATAGATGGAGGAGCAGTTTGGGCTATGCATCATTCAAATACTATCATAATTTCTTAAATAAATGGATTCAAAATCCCAAAATAATAGAAATAAAACCCTATAATAATAATATGCAACACTTCTGTTATTTGCAACACTGATCCTATGAGAACACCCCTATATGCAACACTGCCCCTATATGCAGCACTGCCCCTATATGAACACCCCTATATGCAGCACTGCCCCTATCTGAACACCCCTATATACAGCACTGTCCCTATCTGAATACCCATACGTGCAACACTGCCCCTATATGAACACCCAAATATGCAGCACTGATCCTATTTGAACACCCCTATATGCAACACTGCCCCTATTTGAACACCCCTATATGCAACACTGCCCCTATTTGAACACCCCTATATGCAACACTGCCCCTATTTGAACACCCCAATATGCAACACTGTCCCTATCTGAATACCCATATGTGCAACACTGCCCCTATATGCAACACTGATCCTATTTGAACATCCCTATATGCAACACTGCCCCTATTTGAACACCCCTATATGCA